TTAACTCAGGCATGTTGTAAATCTGTACACGTGGAAAAAAACAAAAATGATGTCTCTCTGGCTGGCCTGCTGAATAACTGTCCCCAAGAGGCCCAGGAAAACAAAGTTTCCCTTGCAAAATCCTTAATCATCTCTCTCAAATATGAGTTTTCCATGCAGCTGCGCGGATGAGGACCTGGGGAGACAGCAGGGAGAGCAAGTGCATTCCTAGACATTTCTTGGCCCTGGGGATTCTGAGTGTTGAATGAATGGCTACAATGTGTCTCCCACATGTCTCCTAAAATGCTTCTAGTTTCCCAGCGTTTGTCTGCGCCCTGGACTTTATGAATGTTTTACCGTCGAATTGGATAGACAAAAAGAAGGCAAATCTAGCAAATTTTTCTGGTACTTGGGTGATAAGATGTATGGGATAGAATTACAGTTTTCAAATGGTTTGGCAAGTGAGGCTGATCGCAGCAAGTTGTCTTCGTATGGATAAGCTTTAAAGGCTGTCCTAAAATCAAAAAGTAGAAGCGCAAATTAGGAGCCGCTTACGTTGGCAAGCGTCTCACATGAAAAAAAAAAAAGTTTATGGATTTTATTGCATTTCGAGAAAGGCATGAGTCACCCGGATGCAGTGGCCGCATTAAAGAAGAAACCAGAAAGGGGGCAGGAGAATATTCCATGTATTGGGGTGAGCGCTACAGCCAAGAGGATGATAAATTAAAGGCCATCACTGAGGAGTAAAAAAAAAAAAGCGTCAAATTAAAAAGATCCAAAGGGTAAGTTGTTTAAAGAGTGCTTGAAGGAAAATCAGTACCCTCCATGGATGCCTGGAATTTAACCCTACCATGTGAAAGGGGCAGAATGACAACTAATTTACTCTGTAAGAGGGAAATTGGGTGGTGCGCGCACAGGTACGTGCGTGCGTGCGTGCGTGTGCTCATGTGCTTATGTGCTTGCGTGTGTGTGCATGGAAACATACTGGCTGGAAAGAAGGGGGGAAATTAAATACTAAAGTGATTAGAGCAGTGCAGAAGCAGAAAGAACCATTTCATTAAATTCTGAGCTTTCTGTCACTAGGACAATTTGAGCCAAGGCCAAGAGAGCATGGCTCTGGCATTCTGAAGGTTCTGAGCACTGAAAAAGAACTCACAGTCAGCGACCGTTAAGATCACTCCTGATTCTCATAGTCTTTGATTTAAGTAAATCGTGAATGCCAACGCCACACAGGACACGCCAGAGCCACTTGGCTCTAACTCTGACCAGCTGTGTGACCTTCAGCTAAGAAATTAACTCCTCTCAGCCCCCACCCCCACCCCCCAGCTTCTTCATCTGGCTTTAACAAATGGCTCAGTTGCTCCCTGGTCCATCTGGCCCCTTGTATGGTCTTAAAGTTACAGTATGTGGAAAAAGGAAATTCCGGCCTGCTCGCTACCTGCCATAAGTCTTCCTGCAGAGGGAAAGCTTCATGGGACAGCAGGAAGGCCCCCAAGGCCACTGAACTCCTTGGTTTGCTTATTGGCAGGAGAAAGGGTGGCGGTTGCCAGGCTGCTGCGTGTTCTCTTGAGAACTCAGCCAGGAAGCTGATCAAATAACTGGTAATTTGCTCTCTCACACACCTGCACTGAGTTCAGCTCTGCCTCTGCAAACAACTGAAGAGAAACGGAGGTCGTGTTACCACCACACTGTACAGCCCTGTCTTTGGCAAACTTCGTTCTCCATTTGCTTACCGAGCTGGAGATTGCCTTTTGAGTTTTGTTTATGATCTCCAGAGCAGACAGTCGCAGGGAAACTTATTCTGTGGCAGATTTCTTCTCCAAGTTTTTAAGTCAGTTTTGTTTAATTAGCTTCTACGCTGAAAATCCAACAACAAATCGGTGACATAGATCTTTCTCCCTCTATAGGAAGGGGAAAACTGAAATTTCATTTGTCCTAATGGTAAGAGTCCTTTGTCCCTCTGGATACCCTTTCTGACTGGCTGTGGCTTCTGCAGCCCACTGGGTTCCTTATCCCTTTCTTCTCTGCCTCATTCCTATATTCTTACATGCTTGCCACCTTTCTGGCATTTTGTCTTTTGTCTAATGCTAATATCATTCTCTCTGAATCCTATTTCCTTCCATCCCCCAAAGATCTTTAGCAGGGTACTCATCAGTATCCATGTCAGTTTGGTTTGATAGAGACATAGAAGGCAGGGGGCAGGACATAAAATATCTCCTCTGGTTACTGAGGTCAGCGGGGGAAGAAGGAAGAGAAGTTCTGCTGCCTGTGGAGCACTGAGGAATTTAAACCTTCATTCCTTGGCTGGCAGATCTGGCCATATTCACCCCATCCAAATACAGTCACATTTTCTCCCATCTCTTCGTTTCCTTGGATTGGAAATGAAAACAGATGTTAAAAATAAGAGTGCATGAGTCATCTTGAATCTCCACTTGGTAATTACAGTTTCCATCTCACTCTGTCCAGCCCCCCACCCCTAGTGTGCTGAGCCCCCCGTATCACACTCCCACTGCGGGGAGAGGACCGAGGCTGGTGTTGGCAATGTTATAGCACAACCTTAATTTTCATTCTCTAATCCTCTGAGGTTAAACACTGAATGAGCTGCCAAGCCAAGAAAAATAACAAGAAAGATGATACTTCAATTTAAAAACTTGATTTGTTGGGATGGGCCATTTTTTCCAATTTTCCATTTTGGAGCAAATCTCTGTGTTGATGTTAGAGATGGCAGTTCTCCGTGATTTTGAAGGTGTCACTCCTGAGCTTGCTCCATGGTCCTCTCACTGTGAAGAATGCTTAACTCTTGTAGCTGCTATCCTGCTCTGTGTTTTCTCTTTTAAGTGCCTGGTGCTTTATAACCCAGTAAACCTCATAGGAGGTAATCACATCTCTTAGTTGGTTATCACCTGCCAGGGAAGATTGATTCCCTTAAGTTGTGCCCCGTCCCTGTGACAACCATTTAACTTTGGGTAATTCTGCTGGTCTAGAGCTCTGATGCCACCCGTCCTGCAGTGAATCCGCTGCCTTTATTCTAATAGCGTCTCCACATGTAGATTATAGTTTCTAGCGAGACAGCTGCATGCCATAGTGTAGTGGAAGCTTGCCATGTACATCCCTTCATTTCCCCTTGCTAGGAGCGGATCTCTTGATGATTTGATTAGGTGTCTGTGCATGTCTGTGTGTGTCTGTGTGCTTGTGTATGCCTCTGTGTGCATGTCTGTGTGTGTCTGTGTGTTTGTGTATGTCTCTGTGTGTATATCTGTGTGTTTGTGTATATCTCTGTGTGTATGTCTGTCTGTGTGCCTGTGTGTGTGTGTGTGTGTGGTGTGTGCCTGGGCATGAAGCTTAAGCAAATTTAGGACCAGTGCATGCTAAATGGGCTGTACTTTCAGAAGTGCCTGGCTCGATTAGTTTTAAATTTTAATTATATTGATTGATTGATTGATTGATTGATTGATTGATTGATTTTGTACTTATGTGTGAATGTGTATATGCCATGATGTAGGTAAGGGGACACCTTGCAAGAGGTGGTTCTTTCCTTCAACCGAGTAGGTCTCAGGGACTGAACTCAGGTCCTCAAGCTTGGCAGCAAACACGGTTACCCTCTAAGCCAGAGGTTCTCAACCTGGAGGTCATGACCCTGTCAGCAAACCTCCATCTGCAAAACTATGTACTTTACAGTTCGTAACAGTAGCAAAAATGGCAGTTATGAAGTAGCAACAAAAATAATTTTATGGCTGGGGGTCATCACAACATGAGGAACTGTATTAAAGCATTTGGAAGGCTGAGAACCACTGCCATCTTGCTGGTCCAAGATTACTTTTGAAGTTCATTTCCCACATCAAAATCTCAACAATTCTGTTATCCTTTTCCTCCTCCAAGACTAGTTTCAGCTGGTGTGGTGACACATGCCTGTAATCTAGCAGCAGGGGGGCTGGGACAGGATTGTGAGTTCCAGGCCAGGCTGGGCTTCAGCGAGAGTCCCTCAGCAAACCCCAAGGGAAAGACCACAAGCTGGTTTAATGTGCTGTGAAGGAAGGCACATAAAATGTTCTCTCTCTCTCTGTGTGTGTGTGTGTGTGTGTGTGTGTGTCTGTTTTTTCAAGATAGGGTCTCTCTGGGTAGCTCTGGATGTCCTGGAAGTCACTCTGTAGGCCAGGCTGGCCTCGAACTCACAGAGATCTACTTACCCAAGTGCACCACAGCCCAGCAGGAAGACACATAATATGATTTATGGGCTCCCGGGCAGGTTATTCAGTCCTAGCTGCCTTCTTTATACCTTAAATCCCTGGGCTGGACAGCCATTCCTTTCTGGTGATATGTTATTGCTCAGATATGACACCATTAAAAGGCAGTATCTTTGGAGGGAAAAGGTAGGATGTGGAGTCAGATGCCTTCTCACCTGGGTCCTCCACTCTCTGTCTCTATGACCTTAGGCAGTTCATTCAGCTTTCTTTGCCTTGTCAGCCTCATCTGTCAAACGAGGTGATGACAATACTTTCCTCTGGGATTTTTGTCAGTTCTCAATGAAATAGGTGATTTGCTATGTGTCATCAATTACCATTTTCATTTGCATAAATTAGCATACTGTGTAGCCATGCTTTTGACAGAAGGGGCTGGTATCAGTTCACAAAGAAACTGGACTTTAGTTTGGGTTCAGCTGCATCACAATGGATGGCTCCTGTGAGAGATTTGGTTTGGGTGGCAGATAGTTACTGGGTACCCAGGGAAAGCATTTGAAGTGAGGGAGAAGGAGAGAGAAAGGGAGAGGAAAGCGATGGTGGTCCTGACCACTCTGCTCAGTAAAGTGATAGAATTATCAGCTTGGGAGGCGAGTAAGCAATGTGACATATGCCTACAAATGAGCTCCTGATGGACTGCTCACTCAGCATTCTCTGTCCTCGTGGTTTCATGCCTGATAATAGAAAATGTTACTTCCTCGGCCCATCACACTTCAAGAACCACAGGAGGGAAAATGCAAAATAGCATTTGTCTTTATTAAGTGTCCCTTTTCTTTCTTTTAGATTACATGAAGCAGACGACATTTGAAGCCCAAGCCTTTTTAGAAGCTGTCCAGTTCTTCCGGCAGGAGAAGGGTCACTATGGCTCATGGGAAATGATCACTGGGGATGAAGTCCAGGTAATGAGGGGCTCAGAGCTATGGTTCTTCTCTCTATCTGTGTGGTAGGAGGTCAGGGCCACTTAGTGAACAATATGCAGAAAGTTGCACAAATAGAAGATGTGGTTCCCAATTTCCCCCAGCTGCCTAAAAGCATTTAGTCAGTGAGTCACCGTTGGGTACCTAATACGAAGACCATTAGACCTGGCCTTCAGGAGGCCTTCAGCCCACGACGCTTCTGTGCGGCCGCTAAATCTGTAAATGCCAGAGTTGGCTCACAGTGATCAGGCTAAGTGTTCTTTGTTATCGTTTTAGAGTGCCAGAGGCTCCTCCCCTTTCTGTGTTGAGTGTGTATGTACACATCCACACGTATATTTGTACATCCCAACCCAAGAACACTTCAGAATTTCAAACAGTTCTTAGTCTTGAATACTTTGCAGAAGTGCATCCATTTAAAACTTTGAAAAGATGAAAGATTAACAATACTTTTTGCCCCAAAGAAAACCCAAAGCATAAGAAGCGGAAGCATTTGATACTGACTAGCCTAGCAAATAGACAACATATAGTAACAGATATTTAGTAGAGAGACCTGTGTTCAAATCCTAAGTCTGTCTTGACAGTCTCATGGAGTGGGAAGGAAAGTTTGTATGAGGAAACTGGGAGGCATAGAAAATGGCCAAGTGACTTGTGCAGTCTTATGCATTCAGTAACTCAGAGTGTCCGTTCTATACCAGGCTTTGTGCTGGGCGCTTGTGCTTTGAGCTCACGTGAGAGGATGGTTCCTGCCTGTACAGATGATGGTTTCAGGGCTATATGTGAGTGGACAGGTGACAGAGGAAAGCTGTTGTTTGCCCCTGATTCAGGAGACTAACATTAACCAGGGGGATAGCCTGACATAGTTATTGTCTCTGGGAGTTTGGCTATGCCACTTGCTCTGTATTTTCTTTCACTTAAAATTTTAATCACAGCTGGGTAGAGTGGCACAGGCCTGTAATCCCAGCACTTGGTAAGGCAGCAGAGGTGAGTTTGAGGCCAGCCTGGTCTACAAAGCCAGGACAGCCAAGGCTAAACAGAGAAAACCTGTCTCAAAACAAACAAACAAACAACAAAACAAAAAACAAAAAAAATCTTAATATTATGTCAGTTCACATTCCTTTACAATGAAAACAAGAATTTAGTAGATCTTTTCTTGGGTGTTTCTTTTGAGTGCTTTGTGTGTGTTTTCTGTCTACCTTTTCCTCTAGGCCAGCATGTGCTCAGTGCTACATAAAATGCAGGAGAGCTGCATGTTCTCTTAGTAGGAATGACTTACACAAGTATGGCAGGGCTTTGTGGCGATGGTTATTTTAGGCAAAGCTCCAGGCAGAGCCATGTCTCGGAATAACTTGCCTGGCAGACTGTTAAGGTGAAAATATTTGTATGCTGGTAAAAGCATCAACGTATTTTCTTCGTGTCAATATGAGCCATGAGCTCTATCACATGAAATCCTGAGAGAGGACAGGCTGCAAAAATGTCAGGTAGCTGCATGTACAGGTGTATTTATTATTTCCTTTTAAATTACCAGGTGGGTGAGAACAGGCAGGAACAGTGCTGCCTGCTTCTAAGACCTGAATACTTCCCATGTTTGAAGCCTTGTCTGCTCCTTATAGACTAATCTTCATTTAAGAGATCTTCACTGTGATCCTCTGAATTGATACACTCACCTTCAGTAGCCCTTCAGTAACACAGGGTGTTCCTTGGTCCCAGTGACCAAAGGACATGGGCCCTGCCCTCAGAAGGGAGCCTTTCTTAGCCTCACCCCCCTCACAGCTTCCAAGCCGAAGGGAAGCCCAGTGGTGTGACCTCAGCGATCTTGCCCTGCCTCCCTTAGCTTCCTTAGTCATCTAATGGAGTCATACACCACCGTGCCCTGCTTGGTTTGTTCATTTTGATTAATGTGATGACACATTTTGTTTCTTACATGTGTGATGGAATTTTCATCCCCACTTTCCAGCAGTTAAAATTTCCTACCGTCTTCTCTTCTTTTTAAAATACAAAATTAAGCTGGGCGCAGTGATGCATGCCTGTAATCCCAGAGGGGCACTCAGAGGGGCAGAGGTAGGCAGATCTCTGTGAGTTTGAGGCCAGCCTGGTTACAAAGCAAGCACAGGACAGCAAAGGCTACCCAGAGAAACCCTGTCTCAAAAAAACAGAAAGAAAAAAAAAAGATTGTAATTTTTAGGGTCCTTATGGTAAACCTCAGTGCATCCTGTTTTCCAGGGAGATCAGAGAATCTTCATTATTATATTTATTTATTAGATTAACTACTTTTCCCCAGAAGCACACAGGCTTCTCTGTTGTTTAAGGCTGGCCAGGGCAGGCAACACCAGAGCAGTAAGAAGAGGCACAAAGTGATGTCAGGATGAAGAGGGAGCTGAAGTGAGAGGACGAGGGAGACGGTGTTGGCATGAGATGTGGTTGACCTTTGGCACCATGGGCTCTGCCAGCTTCAGGGTTATTCCCAACCCCTGCCAGCCCACCACCCTTGTAGCCTCTCTTCCCCGTCTTTCTTTTTTTCTTTTTTTTCCCCCCCAGACATATTTTCTTTTCAAGTCTCTAAGTTGTAACATAGAAGCAAATTTCTTGGAACATTGTGTGGGAAAGTCCGGAGGAAAACTGCAAGCCCACCCAAATGGAATGTTGGTTTTCTTTGGTCTTTGTGTATAACATGTGTGTCTTCTCAAATCCATTCACACTCAAGCTCAAAGCCAATCCAGTCTCTGCAGGACAAATTAGAGTAATTGTGTTTCTTGAGTGCAAGGCTTTTCAACCATGACAGCAGTTCTCATTAAGTTTTGCTTTAGCCTCCATTCCTCTTAGCTCGCTCTCCTCATGACGTACTCTGTAAGTCTTGGACATAGGTTCCAAACAAGAACGAACTAACCTGCGTAGGATTGTGGCCTGTGGAACATTAGTTATCCAGTGAATCGAATGGCTGAACCTGATGATTTCCATAATGTTTGCCTACGTCAAGCTTCTGCTTAGGTTCCCCAGAAAACAGCAATTCATCTCTCAGTTGGCCACAGAGAATGATTAAGAAAGATAAACACAAGCCTATTAGTGAACTTTGAAGACCTGTGAATCTCCTTCATCCTGCGAGGTGGGTCCACAGTGAAGCAGATGGCAGTCCTTCAGACTGAGCCTAGCCTAGCAGCTTTCCCCGGAGCCCACTGGCTGAGGGAGCAGCTTGTTCAGTCCAGCTAGCTCGTCACACCCCTCCATAATGGAGCCTGGAGAAAGGCCAAGGCCCATGAGCTTATGAGGGTTTCCACTCTCTTGTGGCTGACCAGTGAGCTCAGAGAGAACTTCCTTAATTCCCAAAGTGTAATTTGAATTTTTATGAGAAGGAGGAGGTCAGTTGTTTTGGATAAATATTATTTCAACTTCATAGACCAGCTGTCTGGAGTGATCCTCTGCTCTGCTGCATGATGCCATTCTCACCAACGTTGTCCTTGCCTTTTTGCAGAGCTTAGTCTGCAGCCTGCTATAGCTGCTGAGCTGTGATCCTGGTAGACTCCTGGTTAAGTGACTCTGAGCAGCAGAGCTACCCCAAGTCAGGGCCAGGGGCAGAGAAAGAAGGGTGGGGGCATTATGAGTGGACACATGGAGTACTGCTCAGATCCAAGGGAACGTGAGCATTGATCGGCAAAAAATTTTAGGATAGATTTGGGAACGTCCCTACAAAGCACTCTGAAAATTTCCGATGTTCCCTTAGTTCTGCTTAGCCCACAAATGTCAAATTGTTTCGTAGTATTTGGCACTAACTTACCTTTCTATTGTTTGCCTAGCAGGGTCCAGATTTCTTTCTGTTTTTATTTTTATTTATTTATTTTTACTCTTTTGTAAATTTGTTTGGTCTAGTTTTTTTGTTTGTTTGTTTGTTTGTTTGTTTGTTTTTCCCCAAGACAGTGTTTCTCTGTGTGGCCTTGGCTGTCCTGGACTCTCTTTGTAGACCAGGCTGGCCTTGAACTCACAGAGACCCACCTGCCTCCCAGTGCTGGGATTACAGGCATGTGCCACAGCGCCCAGCCAGATTTCTTAATGATACTTTTCATAGACAGTTGCAATATTCCAGCCAGTACATGGATAATTAACAGCCCAGAGCAACTTTCTGGCTCCCGTCTTGAGTGCACAAGTGTGTGACTGCAGCAGAACGCTGCTGTAGAACACAGTGAGGTCTTCGTTCCATCACCAGGGAACGCTTAAAGGTTGGCACCTGACGTTAGCGCGTTAGTGAACAGATTTTCAGCAGGCCACCTTGGCTTTCAGGAAGCATCAGGGAAATGGTGGAATTATCCATCTGGTGATCTAAGCTGAGGTAAGGAGCCACTTGCTCTCTTAAGGGACTCTGTCCTCGTGGCACTGCTGGAAAGTCGGCATAACAGTAGCCAGTTTGGGGAGTCGGGTTCTAACAGGTCTCTAGGTTTAACTACAGAAAGCAGAGTGACAGAAGAGAAGAGCATTTTTTATGCCATACACATTAGCGCAGGTGGCTGTGTGTCGCTGGAAGGAAATCCCTTCTCTTGGGAGCCAAGAGACAGTCCTCCTAAACAATAAAGAAAAAAAATCCTCCCACAGCAATCCAGAATGTTTATAAATTACATACTCCACTCCCCTTGAAAACACAATGAAATGATGAAATGTTCTTTTGCTTAACAATGTAAGCTTTAAAAAAAAGAAAACCAATTCTGCAGCTTTGTCTTGGTTCTTTTTGGTTTTGAGACTTAATCTCACCGTGTAACTCCCACTGACCTGGGCATGCTCAATCCTCCTGCCTCAACTTCTTAAGTATTGGGATTATAGGCACATGCAAGCTTTTCCAGCACAATTCTTTGTTTTAATAAAACTTCTTTTAAAAATATTTCGAAGTAGGCAGTTTCCAGACATGCACAACTACCTTCTCTCTCTCTCTCTTTCTCTCTCTAGCATCAACAGTGCCTTCATCTTTCTTCGCCTGGTTTGTTTTGGCATCTGTTTCCTGCAGGCTATTGCCATTCTTGCAAGCATCAGCGTCTCCCTTGTCCTTCTTTATGGGACCCCTGTTAGTAAGCTTGGTGTCTTCAGAGGTTTAGCCAACCGCCTGGAAGAACTTCTTCATTTTTGTCCATTACCTTGACCCTACCTCCCACAACAGCCCCTTCAGCACAGGAGCACGATGGAAGACACAGTGCCGGACTAGGCCATGCAGTGAGGGCTTGAAGTGATCTGACGGTGGTTCTCACCTCTGCTTTACTCTGCTCCTCCTTTTTGTAAACATCAGAGGATGGAGAGCACGTTTGGGAACAGTAGGAGTAGGGAGAATGAGACATGTGGAGGTCTGAGAAAGAAGGATAGTCCCAGGACCACGGAGCAGGCTCAGGGCATCGTGCTCAGACTTGATTCTCCCGTTTAAGGATGCCCTATCTGCCACTGAAAGTTTTCTTCTCGTTCTAAATCCATGAGGTCTTTTTAGTGTGAGCATGAAGAGCTTGAACTTGAGGAAACTCTTCTTCCCATTGAGATAACAGCAACAGAGGGTGAGGGCAGACACTTGTTCCCCGAGAATGTTGAGGGATAGTATTTCCCTCTGAGATTGTGAACCAGGACTTCTTGCTCTGATCATGTGCACAGCCATGAGTTCCATCCCCAGCATCAACACCCAAGATCTCTCATTCTTCATCGCCCCCTCTCACCTCTGTTTCCCTGTGTAGCGCAGAACAGGGGTGTCTTTGTGAGGCCTCTAGTTGACCATCATCTTCTGGTGCCCTGCGGGCTTCTCCTCTCTGCAGGTCCTGAGTAACCTGGTGATGGAGGAGCTCCTGCCAACCCTTCAGACCGACCTGCTGCCTAAACTGAAGGGGAGGAAGAATGAGAGGAAAAGGGCCTGGTTTGGAGTAAGTGACAAAGTTGCTCTGCAACTGCGCTGTCAGAATGAACGTTCTCATCGCTTTACTTTTTTAGGGCATTTGGTGTTGTTTTAAAATAATTCCTTCCTAGGCAGAAAAAAAAAAAATGTCCATCTTGATGCTACCCAGTCTCACTGACAGAAGAACCAATCTAAACAGAGTTGAACTTGAAATTTGAACGTGTGCTCTGTGTTGTGTATGTGGGAGTCTGTGATGGGCTTGCCTCCCTCCTCCCTTCAGTAACTACTCCGCTAGTCATAGATCATGTGCTGTTCCGCATTGCAGCTCCTGGAGGAAGCCTACAATCTGGTTCAGCATCAGGTTTCCGAAGGATTAAGTGCCCTGAAGGAGGAGTGCAGAGCTCTGACAAAGGGCCTGGAAGGGACCATCCGCTCCGACATGGATCAGATTGTGAACTCAAAGAACTTTCTAACTGGGAAGATCAGAGGTTGGTGGACTGACCCCTTGGCTGCTCCTAACAAATAAGCTGTCCGCTTAGAGGTCCGCCCAGAGAGAGGCTGTGCTGAGCCTCTGTATCCACAGGTCTCACATTTGTGGACTCTGCTGACCCCAGATTGGAAATGCCCGATGAAAATGTGTCTGGAGGACAGACTTCTCTGTTACTCCCCAAACAACACAGTGTGACAACTATGTGACATCTGTATCGTAGTCAGTATTATAAGTGAACTGAAGATGTCTTAAACTACAGGAGGTATATGGTTGGGTGTGCACGCGTTCTATTAAAAGGCTGTATCATTTGACAGCAGGAATTTTAGTGCCCCAGGATTTTGGCCTCCTTGGAGGTGGGGGTGGGGGATCTCAGAACCAGTTGCCCTCAGATAGTATATCTGGATTCAGAGGGGAAATGAAGCTGAGGGAACTGATGAGGGACAATGGCAGCTGTAGCAGGAGCATGCTGTAGTAGTGTTATTAAGGGCCTGGATGCTTTGTAGACTCAAGATGGAGGGACTCTTGCTTCCTGCCTTGTTATGTGGCTGTGTGTTTATGATGAAGAATGACAGTAAGCCTCCGGTTTTTGGCTAAGGGTCCATAAATCTGTATTTGTAGTGCCAAGTCAGAGTACATATTAGCCAGTCTCGTGTACTTGGGGAGGTCATTCAGCTTCTATTTGCCTTAGTTGCCTAATCTGAAGTTGGAGGGGCTGGTGAGAGTGTGGTTGGCAAACCGTGATCCTCAGATTTCCTAGATGATGTCATGTTGAACACAGCCATGCTCATTCATGGGTTCATAGTCTAAGCGGCTTTGTGCTACCACATTGGGACCAACCTATCGGAACTCCAAGGACCACATAGCCACAGGCATTTGCTGTCTGACCCTTGACAGACCATGGCTGGGCTATCTCCCTCTCCCCCCACAGAAGTCTTTGCTTGCTTGGAGGGCTCTTTGGGATACTTTTGGTGGTTCCCTGTTCTAAGTCCTATACCCAATACACAGAGAGCATCTAATGTCACTATGGAGGGAGGGCAGGTAAGCTCCTTGGCAGTTGCTTCTCAGCAGTATTTTTAGATAGTGCATTGTTATTGCCTCCGGGCAGTTATTTCTGAATAGCTCCATTGACCACTCACACATTGAACATTCATTAAGTACCGGAGCTAAGCACCTCCGAGCCAGTCGGGGAGCTTGGGGTCCGGTGCTCCTGAGGCCGCCTCTCTAACAGGGGTTGTCTGCCTGGCAGATTAACGTCTGCAGTTCACACCTGCTCAATACTGCAGTCTAGCATGCTCTAGAGCTCCTGGGGTGGGTCCCACTGAGAGGAGATTAGAAGAGGCTTAGCCGTGCCCGTGTATGGTGTCCTCATGCCTGTTTCTGCGGTACCTCCAAAGCCAGGTACAGATTAGCATCATGTGGTCTCTGTTTGATATGGTCCAGCCTTGAAGCTCATCCACAGTCAGTGTCTGTTGCCCTACATGACACCTAAAACTGCCAACACTCTGGTCTCTGGGGACCCATTTGGGCCTAACTGTCCAGGCTGAAGTTAGACCAGTCTCTTTGACCTCATCCTCTGTGGCTCTCTGACTAGCAGTTGTTCCCTGGAAGAAGTCTTGTGAGGAAGTAACTAACAGGTAAATCTTTTTGAAACAAAGTATCAGGCAGTTGCAGTGGACTCACTAATAATCTTTAACACTCTGGAGGCTGTGCTCAGGAGGATGGTAAGTTCCAGGCTGCTGTGGGCTGGAAAAGAAAGTGTGACATCAGAAAAAAAGGGGAACAGAGGGGAGGGAGAATGGGAGGGAAAAAGGCAGAGAAGAAGGTAAACATGTCAGACACATTTTAAGCAGGCCTCTGGTTCCCTCCCTTTAAAACAAAGAAGGAAGTCAGCTGCATTCATGAAGGGTATCATATTTTGGGAAAGCTTTGGGAGCATGAAGTACTTGTCTTACTCAGTTCTATTGCTATGAAGAGACACCATGACCATGGCAACTCTTATTAAAAAAAAAAAAAAGGGCATTTAACTGGGGCTTGCTTACAGTTTCAGAGGTCTAGTCTGTGGGGGAGCTTGGTGGCACACAGGCAGACATGGTGCTGGAGGAGAAGCTGAGAGAGCTACGTCCAGAGGTGCAGGTCCCAGGAAGAAAGAGACACTGGGCCAGGCTTGGACTTTTGAAACCTCAAAGCCCACTCCCATGACACACCTCCTGCAACAAGGCCACACCTCCCAATCCTTCTCAAGTAGTGCCACTCTCTGATGACTAAGCATTAAAATATGTGAGCGTATGGGGCCCGTTCTCATTCAAACTGTCAGAGTGGCCATCTCTCCATTTCCACCCATATAGCACTTGGGAGTAAAAGCCATTGACCTTCAGTTCTGTTCCACAATCTGTTCACTAAAATCTTATTCTACTTATGCTGAATGTAAGGACTAAGAGGCTTCAGGTCAACACACTTTTACATACGGAAGGCACAAAGCAGTTTGTAGATGCTGAGACAAAAGGAAAATATGACAAATGCTCCTGGAGAAACCAGAACAAAAAGGACAATTTCAGAAAGCTGGAGCCCTCTTCCAGAGGGTGCTGTTTTAGTATTAGGTAATTAGAAAGCATGGAGAATCCACAGTCCTGTGCTCTTCAGGTGCCCCAGCAATTCTCAGAGCTCTGAAAATGGTAAGCTTGTTTCCTCCTCACCATAACCTCAAGAACAATTACTTCTATGGTCTCCATTTTACAGACAACAAAACTGAACATGGTTAAGGACACCCTGAGGTGGCATGTAGCCGGTTCTGACCTCAGCCCCACGAGCTCCACTAGGCTTCTCTGAAGCTGCCAAATGTCAGGAAGGCTCTTTAATTAGTGTCACACCCATCACGGTCACCACAACCTCATCCCTGTGTACTTGAAAGAAGGCACAGTGTATATATGTGGGATTAAAATTATATTCAGCCTGGAAGGAAACACCCGCAGGCCATAGTTCAGGAAGTTTGGAGGTGGGGTGGGGGGGGTCATCAGGCTGACCCAAGGATGTGGTGTATGAACTGGATCCTGAAGGCATGCTGAAAAGGATGCTTACACAAGCAGAAGTGGAGGAAGGCAGGCCCAGGGGAAAGGACACTGGGTGAAGGGGTGGGGTCGGGGATGGAGCACACTGCAGCTAGTAGCAGGCAGGGAAAGCTGAGGAGAGGATTACGGACCATTCTCTTCCCACCTCACAAAGGACATCTTGGGCACTGCCAGATCATTGCTGAGTGTTGCCAGTGCTTAGGAGTATTCTGAACCTGTAATTAGATGCTTTTCAAACAGTTCCTCTCACAAAGTTAATTAACTGACAGTTTATTTTCTTGGCAGGCACTTTTGCAATTTCCTTTCAAACAAGTCCTTTTTTAAAAAAAATTTACAAAACTCAAATTTGTTTCATTTTTTGAATCTGTCATCAAAAGGGTCTTTCTTTGATTATTTCATACATGTATACAATATATCTTGATTATGTCCGTGCTCAACTCCCCTCTTTCATCCCCTTCCTCTATCTTCATTCTCTCTCTCCCTCCCTTCCTGCCTTCCTTCGTCTCTCCCCTGCCTCTCTCCTCAGCAAACCACAGAATCTGATTCGTGCTGCCTGCTAGGATACTGACTGATCTTCTGCAGGTCTTTCCCTTCTTCACACCCCATTTATTTGAGAGTGTGTTTGTATGTGTGTTTGCATATAAAAAGTGTACATATTTCACATGTACAGAGGCCAAAGAATATCTTCAGGAGTCAGTTCTGTCTTTCTGCCATGTTGGGGATCAAACTCAGGTTGTCAGGCCTGGCAGGAAGTGTCCTCATTCACTGTACCATCCTGCTGGCCCTTGTACAGGTCTTGAGAAGGTAACCATAACTCAGTGAATTCATGAATGGGGCAAAGAGGTGGGCCCAGCTTTCCCTTTTTACCGTATGTAAAGTGAAAGGGTTGGACATCCAGGGCCTTTGGCTCTTCCCTTTTCAGCTCTGTGATAATGTAACAGAGCTGTGTGACCCACTGAGCTTCTAGTGGCTCTTCACAGTTGGTGGCGGGGGTCATTAGGCTGTCCCAAGTATGTGACGTATGAACTGGACCCTGAAGGCATGCTGAAAAGGATGCTTATACAAGCAGAAGTGGAGGAAGGCAGGCCCAGGTGAAAGGACACTGGGTGAAGGGCTGGGGTCAGGGCTGGAGCACACTGCAGCCAGTAGCAGGCAGGGAAAGCTGAGGAGAGGCACATGGGCCATTCTCTTCCCACCTCACGAAGGACAAGCCTGGTACTGCCAGATCATTTCAAGTACACGGGGATGAGGTTGTGATGACTGTGATGGGTGTGGCACTAATTGAAGAGCCTCCCTGATACTTGACAGCTTTTGGGAAGCCTGGAAGGGGCTGGTGGGGCTGAGGTCAGAACCTGATGCATGCCACCTCAGGGTGCCAGGTATACTCCTGAACCATGGTCTCAGTGTTGTTGGCTATAAAATGGAGACCATAGAAGTAATTGTTCTTGGGGTTATGCTGAGGAAAGGAGCTTACCATTTTCAGACTGCTCAGAACTGCTGATGCCGGAGGAGCACAGGACTTCGTTCTTCCAGGGGCGGGATAAAGCTTAGGGAAGGAGACATTCTGGAGATGCTTTAGGTCTCAGAGCATTCAGCAGATTTCCACCCTGATGAATGCCCACAAAAGATCCATTATGCTAGCGTGCTCTGCCCACCTGAACCTGCCCATGGGGCCATTTAGCTGTGATGTGGCCTCTGAATCCTGTTTTGCCATAAGTCATGCTTTCCTTTGACCTTTTCGTTCCTCAGCAATGGTGGCTCAGCCAGCTGAGAAAAGCTGTGGGGAGAGTGTGCAGCCATTCCTGGCATCCATCCTGGAGGAGCTGATGGGCCCAGTGAGCTCAGGCTTCAGTGAAGTCCGTGCTCTCTTCGAAAAAGAAGTAGATGAACTCAGCCAGAGCTTCCAGGCCACCCAGGACAGTGTCCAGCTGAAGGAGGTAGGAGATGACGCTGAGGGACAGGGTTCCCAGGAGCTGCTGGGCTGCCTTCCCACGAGGCCGCATTCTCTCTTCTTTCCCCTTGACCCTTCCTCTTCTCTTCCCTCTCTTCCTCTCCTTCCCATGACCTCCTCTCTTTTTCAGTCCCCTCTGACCTCTCAATCTTTTTCCTCTCCTCTTTTCTTTTCCCTTCCATCCATTTGCCTGGTATTTCTGCCATCTATCCAACTAACCCATTCATTCATTCATTCATTCATTCATTCATTCATTCATTCATTCATAAATCTGCCTAATTTTCTTTATTAGTGGTTTTGAAATTTCAAATATAATGTTTGTACAAGTGAAACAACCGACTCAAATATCTCTCTAATTCTATGTCCATGAGAAAGCAAAATTAGTAACCAGAATTGATATCAACTGTTCCTGTGCCTCCATTCCCGAGCCCTTGAATTGACTGATAGAGTCTGGGGGTTTACCTGCTTGCTTCATTTGTTCATATATAAGCATAGCTCCCTGCTTTAAAATAACCTTTGCTGCTTTGTCTCCACAGCTCTAGACTCCTAATACAGGCCCATGCTTGAGGCAGCAGTGGCACCTCAATGTATTGAATCAGGAAGTAGGGGAGGGGTCCAATCTGCTCTACCATGAACTCCAGAGGAGCTGATGTGCCCTCGTGCTGGAGCTTTGCTGACATAGACACTGGCAGCTTGCCTCACACCTACCACGTCATTAAGGTGTTAGGGTGACTGTCTCTTTCCTTCCCTTCCTGATAATCAGCTAAAAGCGCTTTTCTTTTTAATTGGCACATTGTAATTGTACACATTTATGGGCTACAGTGTGGCAGTGTTACCCAGAGCTTCGAAGGCTTTGAAGGAAGGCTTTGAAGGCCGGGCTCCAGCGTTCCCAATAAGCTATGCTCAGCCACCTGTCACAACATGCCAATAAAAGAGATGAGCAATGGTGACAGGCAGAGGAAAGAGGTCTCTTTAATGAGCCCACCCTGGGAGGAGGGACAGAGACCCAAGACTGGCTTTGCAGCGCTGACATGAGCTTTAGGCTTCAATGGAGGCCGATCTGGGAGGGGTCCCTGATCAGCTCTCCTGGACCACTGTCCCTGCTCTAGCTCTTCAGTTTCCGGGTAGTCCTTATCAATAACCCTGGAGGAGACGCGTCTGTTCCTAGATGCTCTCTTCTGCTCCGGTGTAGCTGGCCTGGAAGGGAGACTTGCCCTCATCTATGTGTGGACATAGTCTGGGAGGCTGTGCTCCTCATAGGACCCAAAGTGACTGCAGGTTTAGGACAATTACTTATCTCTGTGCCTTCAGCCAAAATAAAGGAGACAGACGGATGCTAAATGAATATAGAGATGCCAGCCTTTCATCCTGCTCTGGTTACCTGTGGACCTACCCGAGGAGTCCACGCTATTTCATTTAGCAAAAGGCTTCTACGTGCCTGTTTTCAGGAGTTTATACATGCAGATGGTGCGGAATGATCAAATCAGTAATTGCCGCTTCTAGCTCCTGAAACCTTTTTCATTTCTGTGTGCTGGCAGCTCTTCGAGCTCATTATAAAATACATGACGGATTGTGGTAAGCCGTAGTTACCCTCCCATGCCGCGCTCTCCTCGTTTCTTTAGTCCACATGTATGACTGTACAGACCCAAGATCATTTCATAAATGCCTTGATGCTTCATTACAGCCGTGTGTGTGTGTGTGTATGTGCACATGCCTGGATGAATGTGTGTGCATATAGCTGTACCTACGTGGGTACCTATGTAATGTGTGTGCTGGGATTGTGTGTGCATGTGTAAGAGTGTGCAGGTACTTGTGTATGTGTGTGTGTAAGTGTGTGGGCACATGTGTGTTTGTGTGTATGCTTTTTTTAAAAAAGATTTATTTATTTATACAGTATTCTGTACTGCATGTGTGCCTGCAGGGCAGAAGAGGGCACCAGATCTCACTATCGATGGTTGTGAGCCACCATGTGGTTGCTGGGAATTGAACTCAGGACCTTTGGTAGAACAGCTAGTGTTCTTAAGCTCTGAGCCATCCCTTGTGTGTATGTTTTAACTTGCCTTTAGCCCCCTTTGTTTCCTGGCACCACTCACTTCTCTGCAAATAACTATTATCACCAACTTGGTTTGTGCTCTTTTGTACTTCCGCTCATAGAAAATATATAAAACACACATTTCAGAGCTGTTGTCTGGCACCGTCTGCTTGTTAAAAAACAAAACAAACAAACAAACAAAAAACAGTTATTTTATACACTACGCTGCTTATCAGGTTTCTTCTTCAAAATGATTTCATGAAACTGTTTTCCAGGTAACTGCTCTGGTTCTAAATCACTTTTTGTGATGACAGCATAATATTTCATGTTTAGAAATGCTGTGATGTATTCAGCCATCCCATTACTGTGGACACCATGAGCAAAGCCATAATAAATAACCTTGTACATATATCCCGTCATATTATAGCTAATGTACATGTGTAAACATACACAGTCGTTACAGCTCGATGCTTTTATTCCAGTGGGATAGATTTCTAGGTTGGAAGATAGAGTTTCATGTTAACAGATGTATCCATTAAATTTTTAATGAATTTTAAACTTTACATTGTACTGATTTGTACAATGTTGCAGCAGGGAGCCTTTTCCCCGTGTTACCATTTGTGGTGTTACACCCCTTAACAATTGTTACACCTTAACAATTTGATGGTAGTGAGAGAGACACCCGTTTTTCCTCTCCTGCCTGTTTAAAGTGATATATCCCTGGTGCTGGAGCGATGGCTCAGCAGTTGCGTGTGCTTGCTGCTCTGCCATAGGACACAAACTTAGTTCCCAGCACCCATGCGGGTAGCTCACAGCCACCTGCAGCTCCAGAGCCAGGGGAGCTGACACCCTCTTCTGGCCATCATGTGTACCTACACTCACATGCACATACGAACATGCTCATTATTAAAAAATAAATCTTTAAAAAAGAAAATGGCACATTTGTAATTGTAGGACAAAAACAAATGTAACAATGTACCCTTTCTCCACCTTTAATCTTTAATTCCACTTCAGTAGGCCCGCCTGTTGTTCATTTCTTAAAGTGAGTACTTTTTCCCTTTAAAGCACAACTGGATAGGCCCTTTGAAAATTCATGTCAGACAGGGTCTCTTATGTCACTCATACTCACTGACCCTTTGCACAGCTTCTCTTGATTGCTTTCATTATCATCAATTTTTTTCCTCTCTTCACCCATTCTCCTGCTTAAGCTTACTGTGTTCAAGTTTGAAACCATTTTAAACTAGGCTGAGAAAAATGGAAGAAATTTCCACTCCATAAAGAATCTTTTGCAGGCTCATGGGCTCGGCAGCAGTTCTCACTACCAAAGAACCTGCCTGGCTGGTTCTGGAGCAAGAATTGGGGACTTGGAGGCTACTGGGGACTTAAGCAGATGGGAGTCCCTGCTTGAGTGTGCTTCTGAGTTACCCTAATGCCTGCCTCTGTTTCTCTCCTGGCAGTAGAGCTGCCCTAAAGAAGCACAGAAAGGAGACGACAACTGAAGATGCCTCAGATACAGTGGTAGAAATAGTAATTCATACTCATAACATACACTTGATTGTTTCATAATATATACATAGTATTACGTAATATGGAGGAAAGATTCCTAAGTCTAAGGGTGTTTGCTTTTTTTCCCCTTCACCCAAATGCAGCATCTAGACCAGCTTATGAAGCTTCCTCTGGATTCGGTGAAAATGGAACCTTGTTACACTAAAGTCACCCAGCTCCCAGAGGGCCTGCTGGATCTCCAGAGCCGCTTCAGATTCCCTCACGTTGACCTGGTGGTCCAGAGGACGCAGAACTACATGCAAGAGGTGGGAGCAGAAGGGTCCCCAGGGAGAGGGAGGAAGAGGTGAGGAAGGAAAGAAGAGAGAGGGAGAGAAGGAGAACTGCACGCTGGTGGATGTGGCCGGGCTGCTCTGCAGCTCAGGGATTTGAGGCCTGTTTCCAGAGTCAGGTTGAGTGAGGACACACACTGTACTTCCAGCTGGCTTTATCTTTCCCCAGAAGAAAAGTATCTGGGAAATAAAGTAGCATTAGCTGGTTGTTATTTGATGGTTGAGTCTTGGCTGCTTATTAGAAACATATGAGGAAATTTTAAGAACTGCTGGTGTGTTATCCCAACCCTAGTGATTTCAAATGTATATGCGTGTGTCTGTTTGGGTGTTATGATGTATTTGAAATTCTTAGAGAATGTCCTCTACCCATATCCCACTGTTTTCTAACACGCAGCCAGGGTCTAGGAACCCTGGCTGAGTACCTACCTCTTTTCAAAAAGACCCATTCCAGCTTCATAATTGATTTTTATTTTTGAACTTATCACAAGATTGTTTGTGCACCACTGTTCGTCTGTATTGCATCATATGCATGCAGGATCTTGAGGAGACTAGAAGAGGGTGTCAGATACCTAAAGCTGGAGTTATAGGTGGTTGTGAGCCTCCATGTGGGTGCTGGGAAGAGAACCCAGGACTCCTGGGAGTACAGAGAGTGTTACCTGCTAAGCCGTGTCTCCTGCCCTGATATCTGAATTGCCTTAGTCTACACTATAGAATTTTTTTCCTTACAAGGAGGTCCCCCTCCGCCAGAGACAGAAATGAATAAGGCCTACAGCCTCTTTCATATTATAGGCTCCCCTAAATGAAGGAATGGTCCTGATTGGACACAGTTCTGTCCCACACGTGTTCTGCGAAGGGGGGAGGGGAGCTCGCTGCCACTAAACACTGGGATCCCACTTCAGGGAACCAGAGTCATAACAAATTCTAAGTCAGACCAAATCTCGGGCACATTCAATAGTGTTGAAAGTGCCGTGATAGAGTGTTTTACTTAAAAATTACAGGCAGGATTAGTTTTGTGTTTTATTATCCAACCTCCAAGTTAAAGATGATTGAAAGAGCTGGACAGCAGTGCACACCTGTAATTCCAGAACCGGGAAGGTAGAGGCAGGGGGATCGGATCAGGAGCTCAAGGGCTTCCTTGTCTACACAAAGAAGCCTAGGATGAATGAAACCCTCCCTAAAAAATGTAAAAGACATATAGCAGAATTGGGTAACACTAGATCAAGGGTGCCTTGGATAATTCCGGATCCTGGAGAAACAGACACGGGCACAACTGCAGTCTGAGACATCTAAGCTGCATCAGTTCCCTGTCCCCAGTGTAATGGCCATTAGTGTCATGGAGCCTGAGCCCACCTCTCCCCCTTGCTGAGACAGAATAACTGACAGGGACAACTTGAGGGAGGTAGGCGTCATTTTGGCTTATGGGTTGAGAGGGGACAGTCCGACAGTACAAGAGCTCATGTATAAAAGTAATTTTTATTTTCCTGGTTCAGTTGTTGTCTGGGAGGCTTACTGCCTCCTTCTGCTAACTTAGGCAGAAGTTAGCAGCCCTGGAAGCTTCAGGCCTCCTTACAATCTAACCTAGGCCTCAAATGTTTTCAGCCTCTGAGACTTACTAATGAATAGACTCACCCTTTCTTGTTCTTTCTGAGCTCTGGGCTGGCTGGTTCAACTCAGCTGTTCTGGCTCAAACTCTTCTCCCAGCTGACTTACTCAACCCAGCTTCTCTCTCAGCCCCTGAATTGCTTCCCTTGGCCTCAAACTAACTCCAGCAAGTCTTTTCTAATTTTCTGGCTCCTTCTCATTCTCTGTCTAGTTCTGTGTTCTCTCTCTGCAACCTGTCTCTCTATTACTGTCCTGGTAAAACTGCCTCCTCTCTCTCTGCATTGCCCCTTAAGTAGCTTCCCTTTCCTCTCTCTTCTCATGAGAGCTGAGAGTATACTGTCCCAGCCTGTCAATCTTTCTCTGTTTCTGCCATTCAATTAGGCATTACTTTTAAAGTTGGGTGCTTTCTTCTACAAACTACCTTCATTGTTTGGGATTAAAGGCATATACCACCACGCCTGACCTACGCTTTTCTTCACCTGATACTCGTTCTGCAGCAGGCTGGCCTTCATAGAGATGGGAGCGTGTGCCTGGGACACCTCAAGTGCTGGTGCCCAGGAAGCAGAGAGGGCTCAAGCTGGAGTGGGATGAAGCTATCTATTCCTCAAGCCTCTCTCCTCCTCCAGCCAGGAACCACATCCTCAAGACTTGACAAGCTCCCCAAACAGTGCAGCCAGCCAAAGAAGACCAGGTGTTCAAAAACATGAATGAGCCTCTGAGGACCATTTCCTATTCCAGCTGGAACACTAGCTTGGCAGGGGAAGGGGGCTATGGGAGGCAGGATGGAAAACAGGGACGATGTGCCTCAGCGAGACTTTGAGGAGAATGACAACACGAGACTGTGGTTCTGAGTCCCTCTGTACTGGGGTTTCTTTCCAATTAAGAGTGATGGGTAGAAGAGGGGACAAAGGGATACCATTATGCAATCAGACAGACAGACACGCACATATGTCTAAGGAAGGGAGCTTTCTACTCTCCTCCTACTGCACAGTATCCCTTGGGTTTGTTTCACACTCCAGGAAGTAGGGGGAGCCCAGGCAGGCAGAGCAGGACCCCTGTTCCCAGCCTCTGACTGTGGTCTTTTTCTGTGCTGGCCTGCTGCGCAGCTCATGGAGAACGCTGTGTTCACATTTGAGCAGTTGCTCTCCCCACATCTCCAAGGAGAGGCTTCCAAAACAGCAGTGGCCATCGAGAAGGTTAAGCTCCGTGTCTTAAAGGTAAGAGCTCTGTCTCCATTTGTGGGGAGCATCTGACAAGAGAGCGACCCCTGTTCCTTTTCCTCAGTGAGAAATACCCTGAGCTCCCTTTTGCCCTATCCCACCCCGTTCCCCAAGCACAGATAACCATTGTTCCCAGCAGTTTCCCCAATGCCACTCTCATGCTTCTTCTGCCATCTAGTGGTATCTTTGGGGAACCGCATGTCCTCAGCGATTACTAATGCCCAGTTAGAAGTGACCTGTGGGGTTACTTTCACAACTTGACAAATGTGTGTTGGCTGGCCGCTGCAAACACTGACTGGTATTGCATAGTATATGACAATAGGCCAGCTGCTGCTGAGCTTTCCAAGTGCAATAAAATTCACTAACGTAGTCAACATTTTCAAAGGGAACCTGCCACATGAGATAGTTTTTAATGAACTTTATGAATAAGCATGCAATAAGCTGTTGTGATAACAGGAGCTTGCACGATTTTGGTATTTACTTAAAACCTTTTTAAAATTCAGTTTCTAAGATTTTTTTTTCTTCCTAAGTTGTCATCCAAGGGTATTTATATGTGTTTGCGCGTGTCTGTATGAATGTATGCTACCTATGTGTGGGTTCCCATGAAAGTCAAAAGAGGACATCAGATCCTTTGGGGCTGGAGGTACAGGTGGCTGTGAGTCATCCAACATAGGTGCTGGGAATGGACTTTGGATCCTGTGAAAGAGCAGGAAGCAATCTTATTCATAGAGCCATCTCTCCAGGCCTATTTAAAGTCTTTTAAGGAAAAGATCCCAGAACTACCATTTCCTTTGACTCTTGGTGAGCTTAGAGGATGATTAGACCACACCCTACAGCAGAGGAGCAAGCCTGACCTCTGGAGGCTGGACTTGCTCAAGCTCATCAGGCTCCTGAAACATAAGGTTGGAGAGGAAACCATATTTACACCTGGCCCACTCATTTCTGCTACATCCTGCTTCCTGCAAACAATGCTTTAGGGCAGATTAAAGTCCCATACGGCCTAAGGACATCCCAGAGTTTCAGACCTCATCTTGGTACCACTGAGGCAGGAGGAAACTGGCAACCAAACTATCGAGATGAAAAGCACTGTTGATCATAGCAACACAAATAATAACACACTAGCAATTGCATGGAAGAGAAAGGTCAAACTACAAACTTTGCTTCAGCACACAGGAGAGGAAGGAAGTAGAAAAAAAAGCTCTTTGGGATTGAAAGGAACTTAGATTACCTCAAGTTCAACTTTATAGTAGCCAGCGCTAAAAATGTTCCTGGCCAGTGAACAGGGCCCACCTCAGTCCTGGATGAGGAGCTTCTGGTGTTGTTTGGGGCCGCGGGAATATGCAGCTGTAGGTGACTCATGCACTTTGTGACCTGCTTTAGATTTGGGTTTTCCTGGACACCTTGAACCATCCTAAATACTGAGTAAACTGTAGAACAGGCCTGTGTAACAGGAGATGCTTTCACATTTCTGAGCTCAAGCATCCTGAGACTACTGACTATATTTTTCATGTTCAGCTTAGTCTCCCCTTTATTTAGAGAGGTGACATTGTAATTTTGAAAAGCCTAAATGATACAAAAATAAAATATTTGTAAAAGACGAATTAGTTTGGAAGGAGACAAAAACCCTCACCACTAGTCCATCGACACCTTTAAAAGACGTATTTACATGTCTGGATAGAAGGTGGTAACTTACAGAATTCTACAGAACCTACATCAGATGGACTAGTAAGAGGATAGATCTTCAAGAGTTTGCATTTAAGTGATTCTGGATTTCTGTGTGACAGCCCAAATGACCACAGATTTTCTGATGATCAGCAAGCATTTTTTTAAAACTTTATTATTGTCTCCTATTCTGATAAACTTATTAGGACAATTAAACTACTTGCTACTCCAAAACCTGAAATAAAAAATTGTTCCTGCCATGGGTGGTCCCTGGAGTTCTCAGACACCTCCAAAATCAGAACAAATTCCACCTCCCAAGACAGACAGTTCTACCTTTCACCAATTTGCCTGCAAGAACGTACCTTCTAATGTTAGACTCTCCCACCTCCCTTCATAGCCTTCTCCACTTGATTGCCTTTGGTAGCTTGAATAGAGACGTAATTTTGCTGCCCTTGATCTCCAGTTCGAATGCTCCCCTCTCCATCCATTCTTCTTTTGGATGAACCATTGTGTTTACACATCCACAGCAGTTCTCCAGCTCACGTGTGCAGAAGGCATTCACATGCAAACCAGTAAGGAAATGAGGGGCCCCCAAGAACCCGCTCTTGTGGACTTTACATCCTACATTGTTCTTTTGTGCTACTGTACTCGAAAACACTAGACTAAACCAGAGGGGGGTCGGTGAGCTCTTTTGTAAATGGGGGGTAGTGGATGTTTTAGTCGTCATGGCTTCTACGGCAGCCACTGGGCGCTGCTGCAGACTCCAGTTTGGGATGTTCAGGGTAGAGCAGAGAAAACCTTCTTGTTTGAGACAGTAAACTTCTCAGGTGAGCCATCACCCGCTGAGTTGGCAGAGCTTTGCGCCAAGTCCTGTCTCCCCTTGTGGACATCATTACAAGCCACGCACTGTGCTGGTTTTCCTGTATCTACCCAGCAGAAATAATGAAGCACAAACTCTAGTTTGATCCCGTATTTATAAACCAGATCTCACTTCTTTGTTTTGAGCTACCTAGGTTTCCATATCTGTAAAAAGAGGTTGGTGAAATGGACCATGGCTTTACAGCCCATACCCAGTTTGTGCAAAAGTGCCAGAAAAAGATCTTAGGAGCTGGAGAGGTGTCTCAGCAGTTAAGAGCACTGGTTTCTCTTCCAAAGGTCATGGGTTCAATTCCTAGCACCCTTAAGACAGTTCACAGCTGTCTGTAACTTCTGTTTCAGGGGATCTGGCACCCTCACCAAGACATACGTGCTTCAAAACACTAATGCACATAAAATAAAAATAAATAAATTATTTCTAAAAAGAACAAGTTACTCAGAAAAAGATCTCTGAGCCCCTAAACTTCTGCGAGTTCTCCGAAATTGGTGGAGAATGAGGAACGGGGGTGATGTAGGTAGCTGTGTTGTTTTCTTGTTTAAGTGAAAGCTCACAGATGGAAACCTGTGTCTCTGTGTTCACAGCAATACGATTACGACAGCAGCACCATCCGGAAGAAGATCTTCCAGGAGGCATTGATTCAAATCACACTACCCACTGTGCAGAAGGCCCTGGCGTCCACATGCAAACCAGTAAGGAGACTGGCTCCCACCAGCCCGTCCTTCTTGACTTTGAAGTTCAAACGTTTTGTTTTGCACTCCCGCACTGACAAACACTAGACTAAGCCGGGGGCTGGTGAATTCTCTGTATGTGGTCAGGCAGTACATGCTTTAGGCTTCACAGGCTCTTCCTGTTGCAGCCCCTCAGCTCTGCTGGGTACTGCAGCAGCCAGAGATAACACACAAATCTATAACCCCAGTCTGGGTTTTGATAAGCTTAGCATACACATGCGCAAACACGCACACACGCGCACACACACACACACACACACACACACACACACACACACACACGGGAAGCCCAGGATTTGTTACTTCTGCACAATAAGAAATTACAATCCTGGACTTGAGCTGACATGGATTGCCAAAGGAGACGAGATGTTGTCTGCTTTATACAGCATGCACACTGAGAGTTGGCCACTACACCCAGAAAAGATCTTTTTTATTGTAATGTTTTATTTTTATTTTTATCAATTACAGTTTATTCCCTTTGTATCCCACCTATAGTTCCCTCCCTCATTCCTTCCCAATCCCACCCTCCCTCCCTCTTCTCCTCCCATGCCCCTCTCCAAGTCCACTGATGGGGAGGTCTTCCTCTCCTTCCTTCTGATCCCAGTCTATCAGGTCTCATCAGGAGTGGCTGCATTATCTTCCTCTGTGTCCTGGTAAGGCTGCTCCCACTCAAGGGGAGGTGATCAAAGAGCAGGCCAATCAGTTTATGTCAGAGACAGTCCCTATTCCCATTACTAAGGAACCCACTTGGATACTGAGCTGCCATGAGCTACATCTGTGCAGGGGTTCTAGGTTATTTCCATGCATGGTCCTTGGTTGGAGTATCAGTCCCAGAAAACACCTGTGTCCAGATTTTTTGGTTCTGTTGCTCCCCTTGTGGAGCTTCTGTCCACTTCAGTATTTCTATCCCCCCCCCCCCTTCTTTCATAAGATTCCCTGAACTTTGCCCAAAGTTTGGCTATGAGTCTCAGCATCTGCTTTGATACCCTACTGGGTAGAGTCTTTCAGGTAGGCTCCTGTCCTGTTCCCTGTTTTCTCCCTCTCCCAAAGTCCATCCCGTTGCCTTTCTAAGTGAGGATTGATTATCTTACCCAGGGTCTTCCTTCTTGCTTAGCTTCTTTAGGTGTACAGATTTTAGTATGCTTATCCTATATTATATGTCTAACATCCACTTATGAGTGAGTATATACCCTGTGTGTCTTTCTGCTTCTGGGATAGCTCATGCAGGATAATCTTTTTCTGGTTCCCACCATTTGCCTGCAAATTTCACGATTTCCTTGTTTTTAATTGCTGAGTAGTATTCCATTGTGTAAATGTACCACAATGTCTGTATCCATTCCTCCATTGAGGGACAACTGGGTTGTTTCCAGCTTCTGGCTATTACAAATTAAGCTGCTATGAACATGGTTGAGCAAATGTCCTTGTATACGTGAGCATATTTTGGATATGTGCCTAGGAGTGGTATAGCTGGATCTTGAGGAAGCGCTATGTGTGATCACTGAGGGATGTCTGTTCCCCCTATGTTCTGTAACTTTAATTTACTGAAATCTCTGACATAAGCTGGTATGAGCAGCCATGATTATAAGCCATGATTATGAGCAACAGGCAGGAAGCATCTGGAGGTTGCTTCAAGGTTTTTGTTTAAGTCCTGGCTCCCCTGTGGTCTGCTCTGGGCCCTGGGTAAAAGCCCCTGTCCTTGTTTTGATCAACTTCCATCATTTATTTAATTCATCTAATAATGTGTATTTTCCTTTTTATTCTTGTTACCCCCCCCCAAAAAAAACCTTCCTTTGTTTTATTGTTTTGTTGCTGTTTGTTTTGAGACAGACTTTCTCTGGCTGTACTGGACTCACTTTGTAGACCAGGCTGGCCTCAAACTTAGGGAGATCTGCCTGCCTCTGCCTCCCCAAGTGTTGGGATTACAGGTATGTGCCAGCATGCCAAGCTCCTATTTTATTTTGTCTTTATTTATTTATTTTTTTTGGCAGTATGTTGCTGCATAGCCTAGGCTGGGCGTTGAACTTTTGATCCATTTGGCTCGGCAAAGCCACGTCCCACCCCCGCCCCGTGCTAAAAATTATACTCCCACACGTGGTTGCATTATCATTCTCAAGGATGAGACAATTAGAATGGTGCATTTGCCATCTGATTACATTCATATCATAAAGCAGGCATAGTATTAAACATTTCTTACCCATCAAAATGAATTCTACAGCAGCCCTTGGAGGAGGAGAGAGACGGTTCTAATGAGGGAAGCTAATCAGTTGAGTGGAAGCATGCCCAAGGTCAAAAAGCCAGTTATCACCAGCTGAAGCTGGTTTGTTTTTTACCTATGACACAGCTGACACTCAACAAATGGCATCAGCTACACCTACAACTGTTACAATCTATGGCTGTTCCGGCATTACAAAAAATGACTTGGGAGCTTGGCCTGTTCCCCCTCGGAGTCAACAAGAAAGAACACCATAGAATTTTTAAATGGCTTTTTGACAGTTTGGAGAGTCTCCAAGCATTGAGCATTACAATCCATTGTGTGGGTTATTATACCGTGGAATTTTCTCTGGTTGTCTTCATATTCTATAAATGCTGTTTTTCTTCAGCTAGTTATTGGCATATCCACTCTTAAATTTGTTTCTGGAGTATTTCCTTGGTGGAAAGGTTCTGACAAAAACCAAAGGGGAAAGGAATTGGTCTGTCTGAGTGTCCCTTGGCCTGTATGATGGGTGATTCCGGAGCCTGGGGGATTACTCATCTACCTCAGAAAGTGTTTCTTTTTCACTTGGGAGGGAAGCATGGAGGCTTAGCTCTGGAAGCTGCTTTGTTTTGTTTTTGCATGTGTGTGAGGGGCATGTATACAACATGTGTCTTGCATGTGTGGGTACAAATATGTTCTCAGGTATGTATGTCTCTGTATGTGGAGGCCAGAGGTTGACAGAGTGCCTTCCTCCATCTTACTGAACACGGAACTTGCCAGTCAGCTGGTCCATCTAGCCAACTTGACTTAGGGATCCTGTCTCTGCTTCCTAAGCACTGGGCTTACGGGCAGTCTGACCCCACCACTGTTACAAGGGCACAAGAGATCTAAATACAGGCAAAGATGGTGCTTTAGCCAGTCAGCCATTTGCCCAGCTACGGCTCTTGCCACTTTCAGTTGAAAGAGGTTATTTTCAAAAGAGCTTGTGACCTTGAGTTTTCTTTTCTTTTCTTTTCTTTTTCCGAGACAGTGTTTCTCTGTGTAGCCTTGGCTGTTCCAGACTCACTTTGTAGACCATGCTGGCCTCGAACTCACAGCGACATGCCTGCCTCTGATTTCCTGATTGATCTCTTAAAAAATAAAGAAGTAAACATTGTTTATTATTGAGAAAAAAGAAGAGAATGTGGTACCCATTCATAGGCCTTGAGATTGCTGGGGGGAAAAATCTCTGTTCTCTTCTCATTTCAAGTGTGCAGGATGTGTTCCCAGTAGACAGCAAGGGATAAGAATGACCAATGGCCGAATGCCTCCTTATCACAGACAGTTAACAGGTACAAGATGCTTAGTATACAGGCCTGAGGCAAAGGGAACCCAGGTAGAGGCTGATGGCTGAGGTGTTATCCAAGCATCTTTAACCTGTAGGACCAGCGGCTATCCTTCCACACTTCCCAAAAAGGAGGTCATAAGTGGGAGTCGCCCTTTCCTTTTCTCCTTTGAGAATAGGCTTCTTACCTTCCTTGTCCTTTATTTTTCTTATCATACATTAATTACAAAAAGAAATTGGGTTTCCTTGTATTTTCACGCGTACATAATGCACTTTGATCATTTTCACCTCATCAACCCTTTGTCCCCACTTTTCACCTTGCCAATCTTCTTTTCAATCAGTCTTCCTTCTCCTTTTATGTCTTTTTTTTTTTTTTAATTTCTAAATCTGGATTCAGCATGTGTGAGGAAATGGGTGATATTTATATTTCTGGTTCTGGATTATTTTACTTAAAAATGGTGATCTCCATTTGATCCATTTTTGGCAAATGACATAATTTCATTTATTGTGTATATACCACACTTTCTTTATCCATTCATCTATTGATGGGAATGTAGTTCAGGTCCATGTCTTGGCTATTATGAACAGTTCTTTCAGGTACATATGTAAGGGTGGTAGCTGGATCATGGCAGTTCGAATTTTAGTTTTCTGAGAAAGGTCCATAGTAACTTTCATAATGCTTCAACTAACTCCCACCCCTACCAGCCATGTGTAAGGGTTTGCTTTTCTCCACCTTCTCACTAGTGTTTATTTTCTTGCTATTATGATGGAATTTCAATGTAGCTTTGAGTTGCATGTACCCCTCTGATGTTCTGCCTTTTCTTCTTCCTCCTTTTACCTCTCATTCCCCAGGAGCTTCAGAAATACGAGCAGTTCATCTTTGCAGATCATACCAATATGATCCACGTTGAGAACGTCTATGAGGAGATCCTGTATCAGATCCTCCTTGACGAAACCCTGAAAGGTGAGGAGGGTTGGCCCTGCACAGAGGGAGCACTCCAGAAACAGGATTCAGGAAGGAAGGCTGTAGGGTCAGAACGAGGAAGAGTTGAAAAGGAGAGGGAAGGAGGGAGGGAGGGAGGGAAGAAGGGAAGGAAGGAAGGAAGGAAGGAAGGAAGGAAGGAAGGAAGGAAGGGGGGAAGGACCAACTTCGATTCAGTCACGAGGTGGCCTGTAGCATGTGCGTGACCCTCCTCTTTCAAAGCAAGCATGAATTCTGTAGGATGAGAGTGTGAGCTTTATCATCGAAGAGGAAAGAAACCAAGGCTGAAGGTCATGAAGGTCTGTCTTTGCTGCTCTGTGTCAGGCAACAAAAGGCTCTCGGGGCTGAACAGAGGTGACTCCAGCAGCAGGGCCCAACCATTGCTCTCTCAGCACATTCCTCCCCTCCAGTCAGCTGGACAGAGACACAGGACAATGGTCTAGCAAGCACTCTGAGAGCCTCTTTAGGACTCTGGCATCTGTGTAGTGGGGCCTTGTCTGGGATTATAGTGCTATCTGTCTGTGGGGTGAAACTTAAGCATCCATTACTAAAACGTCTCCAAAGAGAAAACTGGTCCAGTGCAAGCTTCTGGTCACAGTAGTCACCATAGGAATCCCAGGAGGACAAAGGTGTCAACCTCCGCTCTGCCTGAAACATGCTGTATGTTGCTGTCTGTTAGAGCAGGACACTTGGGCTGACTGCCCTTAGCAGTTCTGTCTCAGCCCTGGTGACACGGGCTTTGGGGTGGCGTTGTTGGATACCACAGCCCTCCACCGAGGTCTGTGGCCGAATTGTCAGGTGCTATTGCCTCTGTTGTTATTTTCTTTGATCCTCTGCACGCCTTTGAGATGGAGATAGGTGCATATAATAATGCTCATCTTGAACACCCCAGGCCAAACGGGCGCTCTCAGTGGGACACTTAGTGCTGAATACCACCTATGCAGTTGGGACAAGTCAGTCAGGTCAAATGAGGAGGTAGAAGGCCTGCCCCTGTCCTGCTGGAGTTCCAGATTAGCCACTCATCTTAGCAGCTGGAGAGACTGACAGATGTGATACCCTGGTAGACACGGAGCTCTTTGGAGGTTGAGGATTTGTTTCATTTTCTGGATTGAAGCTGGTCTCGGATTAGGTGCCTGCCAAGTGTTTCTTGATTTTTGTGAATGAACATTAGCAAGATTCAGAGTCTGCAAAGTTTACAGGTTTTGAGCATCAGGAAAGGCTACCTTCAAGAGGGTAGTCATAAGCTGGGTCTTGACACTGAGAATTTAGAAAGCCTGAGGAGCTGACAGGAATGATTGCCTTCTGGGTAAAACTGGAAAATCCAGGTTTGCTGGGCAGAGTGCTAAGGTCATGTTGTGTTTTCCGGTCTCTCTCAGTGATAACGGAGGCAGCTGTCCTGAAGAAACACAACTTATTTGAAGACAACATGGCCTTGCCCAGTGAAAGTGTATCCAGCCTGACAGATCTTAAACCCTCCATGGGGTCAAACCAGGCCAGCCCCGCCAGAAGAGCATCTGCCATTCTACCAGGAGCTCCAGACAGTGAGCCCCCAAGTAATGAAGTATTCCAGGAGCCAGAGGAGAAGCAGCAGCAGCCTGGGGCGCCTGGCTCCCTGGCCAGAGAGGAAAGTACTTCCGTCTCTGGGTCCAGTTCTTCGGGCGGGAATGGGCAGGTGACTGTATCCAGTGTGGACAGCTCTTCTGGGAGTCCTCTCACGGCAGAGAATATGGAAGGATCCCCCAGCTCACACCTGCCAGAGGCAGAAGCCAGGGAGACCCTTAACGATGAGGAACCAATCCTCGAGAGTCCAGAGTCTAGCAGCATTCCGGGATCCTTGAAGGAGCTGAAAGAGCTGTTGACGGTGATGGTGTCTGTAGAATCTGCCCTGGTGATTGAAAACAATGCACACAAGGGGACACCTATTCCCCAAGGAAATGAAAATGAGGATGAAAACAAGATCTACCCAGAAGACATCCATTCAGCTGCCACCCAGCAGGACAACTGCAAAGAAAGTGAAGTCAGTGAGAGGGAGGCCCATCCTACCCTTTTGGAAGTGGAGGCTCCCGGGGTGGGGTTGGGGACCTTGCCAGAGGGTAGCGGCCCTACCTCTCAATCCACCTGTGGGGGCCCCACTGAGGACACCAGCTGTCTAGGCCCCGTAGGAAAGCCATCTGAGGCTCCAGAAACCACTGAGAGGGTGCCCCCAGCGATCATTTCCACACAGGACACCACTCATGCAGGAGGTGAGGCTGTGGTGGTCACCCCTCAAGAAGATGCCGTGTCAAGTTCTAATCCCATCTGTCCTGTGGAGGGCAGTGAGATGCCCCAGGTTTCCGAGGCTCAAGAAGTGCTGGGAGGGAATGATAGCCCAGCCCCTGCTATGGGTACAGAGCAAGTCACTGCTATCCATGTGCATGAGTGCCAGTGGGTGGTAGAGGATGCCCCAAGCACTGACATCCTAGCTGTGCAGGATTGTGATGCGGGCTTTTCAGCGCAGACCTCAGAGGAGTGATAGAAACAACTTGTCTGTCGTTTTTCTGTTAAAACTGTCAGTCAACGGGTTTTAGTTATGGGTATCCATAGGGGATTGCATGGGGCTTGCTGTAAAAATTATAAAATGTTTCCTTAATCTGAATGCTAAAGCCAGAGGAAATGTATACAGGGTGTGAGCGCTGAGGCAGACTTTGGGGGGCTGAATGATCACTTCAGTATTTTAATAGAAATGGAAAGAGAACTGGAGCATTGGGGTGAAAAGCAGTTAAAGGGGCTCCAGAGAGGGGTCAGTATGGCCAGCAGAGACCGACAGAGCAGGAAATGGCAACTCAATATTCTAGTCGCTGAAATGTACAAATTTTGTACAGCACTTTAAGCATTTTTAGTGAGAGCACAAAGGACTCTAGCCTTCCCACCTGCTCCTTCAGCTTCACCGTTTCCACAGTGGCATTTGTCCACAGTCAGGCCACAAGAAAGAGGAAGTCACAAGCCAGGCACTTCCCTGTGCCGTGTCCAGAGCCAGTCATGACTGGTAGATCTCAGGTGCTGCAGAGCAGAAATCCAAGATGGAAGGTCTGTGGAACTATTTAGGCCTGTTCCTAATCCTGCTACCAATTCCTTGTTCGTTAATTTTGTTGATTTGTATTACTTAATCACCTTTTAAGGAAATTCAGATGGGGCAAGAGATTTCACAGGCATAAATTAGCCCTAGTCTATGCAAAGTGCTTGGCTAAATTTTCTAGTTCAAAACCTACCAATTACACAGACATTGTTTGGACAGCGGCTGCATGCTCTGTTAGTCACAGTAATAAATAAAAGATCAGGTGCTTTGCTTCATATACATTAAAAGGCTCATGAGAATTTAGTCTAGAAGAATATTTTTTTCCTGTTTTTAAGTTTTAAACCATGACAGCTTTCACTCTTTCCATTCACACAGTACTGGTTTATTCTCAGAAGGGAACAAATGAATTCATGATTGAAGAAAGGAATGGATGAAATCATTCAAGTTTTTGTCATTACCAAAGTAGAAATTGTTTGATCATTCAGCAAATTGTTCTGGTACCAATCCTGGGGATACCATGATGAAAAGATGTTCCTTCTTTCTGAAGGAAACAAAGAAATTCACCCCTAAAATAGACTGCAGCCTGTAACTGTTAGGATGAGAGCGCGAATGTACTCACTTGCAATAAAATGTATCTCATCGTGTTTCAGAAAAATCTCAGATTGTTCCCTGAAAGTTTCAATCCCGGGTGGGACTGAAACTTCCTCTCACGTATTTTAACACCAGAACCTCACACACTGTCTTCAGGGTTTGTTTTACTCATTACCATCAAACACCTCCTTCCAAGAAGTTATCCCTCATTTCAGCCATTTAAGCAGGAATGAAGACATTTCCCTCCCACCCCACCCACAAAGAACTTCTAAGTCATAAAGGATGAGTAAGAATCACATCAGCATGGTCTCATACGGAATCATTTCACCTTTTCTTAGAAGGTGTGTATCCTCAGTGTCCTTGCGATGTCCCACCACTGAGTGAGGAAGGCATTCTCAGGCTTGTACCTGGCCGTCAGTGTGGTGCACCAAGATTACATTACTTCCTGTCTCATCCACAACCTCCTCCTCCCTGAGGATTAGTCATCACTTGTTCTTTCTGCTGGAAACCCACAGCCTTGAATAATGCCTTCCTGCGTGCCAAGTAACTTTAACATCCAAGGGCCTGGCATAAGGACTGATACGTTTCACGCCGCTCCGGAAATGTAGGAACGGAGTGCCTGGCACAGTCCTGTGCAGGGGCTATTTGGGGCCTCTAGGCAGGGAGATGTTTTTAATTAAGCTTTCTGACCTTGCTGAAATCTTCCCACAAATAAGCTCCAACGCTGAAGGGGCAGGTGGCCAAATGGCCAGTAGCACTACCCGGGAAGGCGGGGAGCCAAGAGAGCAATGTCTATCCCACAAACACTGGCCTTCTTTTTAGGAGAGCCATGGCTATCGTGGGGTCTCAGCTCATGCCAACCCCACTCCAAACCCTCCCGTCCTCCCTGCCTTTGCTCACATCTTGTACCCCACGAGAAGCTAAGAATAAGCAAGAGTTCACATGTCACTGAGTCGCCTGGATGAGTATTGGCGCCGATCAGGAAGGCCAGAGAGGAATCCGCACTAAGTAGCAAGATATTCTAGAAAACACTGAGAACCCCTTCTATGCATATTTCATGCAACCGAGTTCTCCAACCTGCAGTGCATTAAAACAGTCTGTACGTGTGGTGAATGTCAGGCACGTGCTTTTCATAGATTTGTGTGTTCCAGTGTTTCCATGGGGGAGCAAGGTGCTTGTGATCAAAATGGGCAATCTCGGCCTTGGGCAAAGCTATTACAGACTCCTGGATCTTGGCCAAAAATCCAGGACTACTAAACTAGTTACCAGTTTAGGAAACTAGTTACTGACTGACCTTTCACAAAGAAAGAGGTTTTCCTTGAAAAAAAAAAAAAAAAAAAAAAAAACTTGTCATTTTGCCTCATGTAACTTGGCACAATGTGTAAAATTATGCGGTAACCTCAACACACATGCACAGACTCAGGAAAAGGAGCAGAGCATTTTGGAGAGAACAAGGTCTGATTCCAGTTGTCTTTTGCAGATTGGTTGAGCATGCAGAATGGCAGGCCCTTAGGTTTGACCCTCTGTATAGTTTATTATATGTTTGCCCTGGCACTTCTTCAGAGTAAAGCCAGTGACTTCAGAGGATTTCACAGTTCTCCCAGACAAACGTGATTTTAATTCTTTATTTTTGTAAAGTGTGACAAGAGCTGAGGGCATGGTTTCAGATAGAGTACTTGCCTAGCAGGCTGGAGGTCCTGGTTCAACCCAAAAGTGGTGGTTGTGAGGGAAAGCTATATGCTAAATAGTCTTTAGTTATTTCAGTATAGGGGACAGAATGACATCACTGACATAAACCATAACATGTGAGAACGCCGGTGACGTGTGCCTTCTTTACCATAAACACACATGACTGGGGTTTTGCTGTTTGAAGTCTGAGACTTCGTGGAAAAGAGTTCTACACTACAGTTTTATTTTTGCATTCACGATATAAAGCAAGTAAACTAAGAGCACGGTGTAAGCCTGGGTTTACTTTGCCAAGTGCCTATCTTCCAATGAAACATTCATCCTCGCAGGGCTGTCCAGAGACCTTTGATTGGGAATGGGGCTGGCTTTATCTTTTAAGCAAATGTCATACTCAAGCTGCAAGGAACAGTCCTCAGAAATGAAAAGGTGTGTCACTGTTGCTGGCTTCGGACTCTGACTTCTCTGTTGTGGGGGAGAAAGCTGCTGGGGTACCACTTAATGCCCAATGAAATTCTACATTGATGAGACACATGCTTATTTTTCAAGGACTTGGATCAAATCCATCATCCAGCAATGGGCAATTACTCTTGATGCAATTGAACGGCTGTTCAAACTTCAGCGTATTTTCCGTGGGCGAGATTGAGTAAAACATGCCTTCCTTCTATAATTACAAATAAAACCGTGTTTACTTACCAGCATTCACAGTTGCTCATTTATCTGTGGATTCGCTCATCCAAAAACAGTCTCTCAGATGCGTCTTAGATGCAGTCACTGCAGTGAATGGTAAAGAAACGGAAGTTGCTGCAGTAGGCAGTACTGACCCCCGACATCAGCAAACTCAGATTGTCAGGGGGGATACAGCCAGGGAGAGCCCAGAACACACACCTGCTTCCTCTAATGACGATAGCAGTCTTAGCTCAGTGATGACAACTTAATTCAGGAGAAGAAAATATATACAAGCCTGGTAGGGATGGGGGCACTCAAAATGGTTGCTACGTCATCACCCCCTCCCCTTGCCCGTCAAGCTTCCAGTGTGCAAACGGCATTGAGAGCGGCCTTCCCAGGATTTCCAGATACTGACACTACTTAGATGGGAGTTGGGGGAAAAGGAGTTGACTTAAAACTCTTCTTGCAGGTCCTTCGTAGATGAGATGGTTATTGAGTGTGAGAGACATAGGAAGGACAGGGGGAGGTCTTGGAGGGGTCACTTGGATCTGCCTCTGTTTGAACAGCCCAGAGTCTCTGTCACATTCTTCACCTATCAGAAGCACCTGACTCTCTCCCTTCTCCAGCTGACTGGTTCCTATTCTTTTTCCTGAAAGTCAGGAGAAGTCAGGTTGTACTCTTCACTCATAACTCTCAGTATCATTTTCTGACCTTGGACCCTAATTTACTTGCCTAAGTCTCGTCCTCCTCTCTGACTCCTCCGCAGCCATCTACTTTCCCTATACCTTTGTGGAAGGGATCCTTCAGTGTTTAATCCTTGTGCCTCTAGCCGAGCGGCACGCCTACACACACCCAACACACATTGAATGAGTGAATTGATAAAGGCCTTCCATCCCAGATGGAGATAAAGCAGACGCTGTCCCTTCAGGGCAGGGCTTCGGATGCTAGCAACTTTATTCACGAATCTTTAACTTCTGTTGTACCAATGTTCTGTGGTACTAACACTTTTGTTATAGTAATGAAACTGACTATTTGGCATTCTCACATCTCCATGGCTGAAGAGCCATGACATTAAATTAAAAAAAAAATCAAGCTAACAACTATAAACCCAGTTTTCAGGGTAGTAGGTCTCTTGGATGTAAACCATCCAAAAAAGGTTAAGAAGTTGCGGATGCTGTGCAATCAGTTCTGCAGAACATGTGCAAATGGTCCTGGAGAGCATTGCCATGGGGCCTGTACGCCTCTTGGGGTTGGGCAGGGAAAAGGATGCCGTCCTTGTTTTGCAGAGACTTGGAGGTAAAAGCTTCCCAGGATTCCTTTACCCAACCTTTACCTAGGCCCTTCCTAAAAGCTGGGTCTCCCAAGGATGCTGCTCTTGAAGGTTGCAGCCTCACTTGGATTCCCGTTTTGTGTGAAGGGGGTGTTATTCCTGCTTTTAAATTTCTGTAAGAAAGATGTAAATGAGGCTTTGAGTCAGGCCTGGCAGTGTCCTACATATTGGGAGGCTGAGACAGGGAGATCATTTGAGCCAAGGAGCTGGAAAACAGCGTGAGCAACTCACTGAGACCTCCCATCTTAAAAGAGAAAATCAGGCCAGGTGGTGATGGTACACATCTTTAAACCCAGCAGTCAGGAGGCAGAGGCAGGCGGAGCTCTGAGTTCAAGGCCAGCCTGGTCTACAGAGTTCAGGACAGCCAGGGCTACACAAAGAAATCCTGTCTCAAAAAAAAACACAAAAAAATTTTAAAACTTTTTTAAAAATAGAGAAAATTGAAACACACACACAAACAATTGGTCATCATGGTTTATGGTTCTAATCCCAGCACCTAGTAGATGGAGACAGGAGAATCAAGAATTCAAGGTCATACTCAGCTACATACTGAGGTCCAGGCCAGCTTGATGCACATGAAACTCTGTCTATACAAAAAAAGATTTTTTTTAATTAAAAATGTTTAAATTTTAAGTTAAAATGAAATTATCATTTATACTAATAATAATAAAATAAAAAATACTTTGCTTAGTTAAGGTTTCAGATATTTTAAAGATGTGTTGATTTTTATTCCTTATGGGTATTTTGCTTGTATGTGTTCACTGTATGTATGCTGGGTGCAGGTGGAGGCCAGGAGAGGGCTCTGGATGCCCTGCCTTGGAGTCAGGGAGAGCTATCAGGTGCTGGGAACTAAGTCTGAGTCTTCCATAAGAGCAGAAACTGCTGTTAACCACTTGGTCATCTCTAGCCACCAAAGTATATGAAAAATAAGAGGCTTCCCTTCGTAACTAAGCAACAGAATTTACACTGCTTGTATACCGTGAGGTTAATTACAAGACAATCAGGGGTCATGGCCAACATGTTTATCATCTGGAGATGAGTGACAAAACATCACCTGTGACAAACACATTTTATAATTTTAGACGTGGATGTGTTTCTCTGTAGCAACTAATCAGTCTTTAGAAAAAGGCTATCGTCTGTGGGGCATAACCTTAAATATGTGCCCGCTTCTAAAGGAAGCTCTTTTCTTTTCCCTAAATCAGTGGCTCTCAATGTTCCCAATGCTATAGCCCTTTAATACAGTTCTTCAGGCTGTGGTGAATAAAATTATTGTGTTGCTACTTCATAACTGTAATTTTGCTATTATTATGTATTGTAATGAAATGAATATCTGATTCTCATGATATCTGATATTCCACCCCCTGTGCGTTGAGAACCACTGCTCTAAATGAAAGTAACCTCCTTACCCCAAAAAGTTAGCTAGAAACTCAGTTTCTAACCATGCCCAGCTGGTGGCACACACCGTTAATCTCAGACCCTGGGAAGCAGAGCAGATAGATTTCTGTGAGTTCGAGGCCAGCCAAGGCTACATAGTGAGACCTTGCCTCAAAATTAAATATATAAATAAACAAATCAGAGGGAAACTCAGTTTCCTGACACCAAACACAGATCTTACGTTTATCTTGCATGGCTGTTACTCTGTATTCTGTGTAATCCTCGTCACTGATTGCAAACATTTATCTCCCATCTCCTTCACCCATTAAAGTGTGAGCCCCAGCTCTTCAAAGCACTCAAGGCATATGCTGCCCTTCCTTAGTGCTTAAAACTTGGGGTTTTGAGGCCCTGACAATTCTACTACTTTTGTGGTGGTAGGGCCTCACTGTGCGGGTATATGCCTCGTCCTAATTCCACATGTTGACAGCAGGAAGGTTTTCCCTTTCCATAAGGTTGTGGCAAGACTCGCACTGTTGCCTCTAACACCCTCAAGCTTCCTGTCTGTGCACTCTCTCGGCTGTTGCTGCTGACTTCAATATCTAAATGTGTGGTACTGTCTTAGTTAGGGTTTCTGTTGCTGTGAAGAAACACCATGACCACAGCAACTCTTACAAAGGAAAACATTTAATTGGGGCTGGCTCACAGTTTCAGAGGTTTAGTCCACGGCAGGAAACATGGCAGCGTGCAGGCAGACATGGAGGTGGAGAAGGAGCTGAGAGTTCTGCGTCTTGATCTGCAGGCAGGAGACCGTGTGTCACACCGAGCATAGCTTGAGCATATGTGACCTCAAAGCCCACCCCCACAGCGACACACTTCCTTCAACAGGGCCACACCTCCTAATAGTGACGCTCCCTAAGGACAAGCATTTAAGTATGTGAGTCTATGGGGGGCCACACCTATTCAAACCACCACAGCTACCAAGAAAAGTTTAATGATTCCCTGTGTGTTTTGACTCATAACCAGATGGACAGCTTTTAGAGGAGAGAGTTTTCTATAAACGCCTAGCAACATACAGTGGGCCATATACTCACATGGGTGGGGTCATCCAGGGGAGACCCACTCATTGCCTGCATTTCCTTTCCAAAGCTTTTCTGCTGTACAGTCATCTACTGGGGATGGGGAAACTCACTGGGCCCCAAGGAGCATATTTCACTTACAAACAACTATAGTTAGAGCACAAAGTTGTCCTGTCTACTTTTCCTCTCAAACCACCCACAACCATAATTTCTCCCTATAAGCCCGATTCTGTCCACCAGGGCTATTCTCATCACACTAAACCTTTCCTCACAGCAACTCTCAAACATACCCCCGACTCACACACACCCTTCTCTACCCCACTCCTTGGCTTTGAACTCTTATCTTGAATCAGTCTTCCTTCCTTCCTTCCTTCCTTCCTTCCTTCCTTCCTTCCTTCCTTCCTTCCTTCCTTCCTTCCTTCCTTTTAGATAGACTAATTCCTTGAGTTCTTTTTGAAGTTCCTGAGAACGCTCTGATCCCATCACTGGCCCCTGGATCCTAGTTTAAGTCCTGTGAGCCTTGCCTCCCCACAAACCTGGCTTCTTCCACTTCACAGGAATACAGGGAGCAAACAATTCTTCTTCCTTCTTCCCTCTTGTTTTCCTACCTCCTCCTCCTTGCTATAGCTTTTGTTTCCAAACACTGTGGGAAGATAACCCAGAAAAAAAATGTTTCAAACTCTAAAATTACAAGAATAAACATTTATATTTATGTTTCCAAGGTTATAATTTTTGACTGCAGAGAAAGTAAGGGGAAAAAATGGTTGCTTGTCAGCCCACCACTTATTTCTAAAAGTAAAACTCACCGAACATTTGCTTTCCATGTCTTTATGACTCCTACCACCGCCACTATTATTTCTGTGTGTGTTTCCGTGTACAGGGGCACATACATGTGTATACAGGAGGGTGGAGATCAGAGAACAACCTCAGCTCTCGTTCCTCAGAAACAGATTTTTGAGACATGGTCTCTCATTGGCCTGGCGCTTGACCACTAGGCTAGGCAGGTTAGCTAGGGACGCCTGGGGATCTGTCTTTGACTCCAAGGGTTGGGATTGCAAGCATGTGCCAACACACTCGGCTCTGGGAATCGAACTCAGGTCTACCTGCTTCTACAGCAGGCATTTTACTGACTGAGCTTTTGAGCTTTGTCTCCACCCACACCCCCTCCCCTCCATTTCTGACCTCAGATTGTATGAATCTACTCTTTAAAGAAAACAATTCAGAATGCATTTCCGGCCAAACAAAG